GGGGGGGGGCAACAATAAATAAGCCCACACATCTACCTGACTACAAAAAAGAGATGAGGACACTTCAAGGGTCGAGCTGATGCTTTTCAGAGAAAGACAATCATGTTTGCACTCACTCCCGTGACTCGAAGGGTCATTTGAGTTAAGATGCTTTCATGTAGATGAAGCGTGTGTGTGTGCATGTGCGTGTGCATGTGCGTGTGCACGCGCGCGCGCGTGTGTGTGAAGTTGCTACCTTGCAGCTTGCAGATTGCATCTGGTTCACTGCAAGGAGGAGGGAGGAGGGTATCAAAAGCTAAAGATACATCCTGGAACATCTCGAAAGAACAAAAAAAAAATGGCAGGATAAAAGGCAAAGTTAGATATTCATGTTGCATGCCCTTCCATTTCTTAAAAACAATAAAAATAAAGGATCCCCCTGTTACACAGCTTGTTTTTTACCCTCTAGCTTGTCCTCTGGAAATCCCCCTGGCCCTGAATGTTCGTCGGGTATCATTATACATAAAAGGAGAAGAGAAACAATATCAAGGTGTGGAGGGGGGAAAGGGAAGGGGCTTCAGAACCACCCTCGCTTCTGCCCTTTTCCCCTTCCTTTTCCACAACAAAGCCAACTTAAGACATTCAGGTTTCCGGGTATCCTTTAATTTGCCCTCTCTGCCTTCAGCTGGGGAAAGCAGTGCAATGCCAAAAGGAGGGGTTATGGCCAGGAATCACTTGCAGACCGGTGCCACTCCTAGGAAAAGCGACGGGGTTTACAAGGCTGGCAGAATGAGGCATCGTCTGGCGGGTCTTCTCGTGCCCCTCTTCTCGCTCACTGCCGCCAGTGCCACCAGCGTGTCCCTTGCACCAGGAAAGACCAGCCCGGCCCCGGGAGCCAGGCGCCAAGTGCAGCAGCCTGGAGCACTTCAGCTGCGGAGTTACCTGCACACACGTGTGCCTGAATACGGGGTGGGGGGCGGGGGGCAGTGGATGCCGGTGCTCTCCCTTCCCCGCTTGTCCTCTTCTGGAGAGAAGCAGCCACCGTGTCCCACGTTTTGTAAAAAATCTGAGCAGAGCACTAGTGGGGCCGCTTACAGTAGGGTGCGTTTGTTGGCTTTGTGCTGTTGTTCTATGGGCATGGGGAGGACGGGGTTTTTCTGTGTGTATTTTATTGGACCGAGGCGCTGAGCAGCTTGTGTGTGTTGCG